GGTTTTGTCACCGTGCTTTAGTCACCGCGGTTTAGTCAGGCGCGCTTTTGTTGTGCGCGCATTTGTGGTGGAACCCATTTTTTGACGTGCTTTCAAACCGCTAGGTTGGCAGAAGCTGGGACAAGTCACGGGACTTCACTCTGTTCCCACCTTTCTGATCGACAAGCTCAGCGTTCTTAGCCGCTGAGCCACTGTGTCCCTCTTTGGCCCCCTACTAATATTAGTCCTATGAAATAATACTAATATTATGTCCAAATGCAAATTCCAAACCAATTAAAGAACAAGGAAAATGAACACTAAAACAATGGATTGACAAACCCCCTCCTCCCCACAAAGTGGCTGCAGTGCTTAAAGGAATGCATTCTGACACTCTGCATTTCTGTCTCAGGGTAAGCTTGCAAATTCAGGATTTTTTCTTTTTCTTTTTTTTAAAAGAAAAGTCCAATCTGCAATGGAAAACCCAGAGCCTCCTTTCCTCCCCCTTCCACCCAATTTCTTTGCATCTTCAGAAGGAAATCATTCACCCGTCTCTGTCAGGGACAGCTGGCCGCTGTCCTAACTTTTCACATTCTCTGGCCAGGCACAGATTATGGTCCTGGAGGCTGTCTCCTCCTCCTCCTCCACATTTACGCACGCTTGGGCTGTTATCAGGCTGATTAGCTCGTGTTTTGTCTACTCCAGAGACAGGCGAATTCTGCTGCCTCTCTGGAGGTCTTTCAGAGCAGAGGCCGAGGGGCAGGAAGTAACAGCTTTGCTCAAGGAGAGGAAAGGGGAAAGGGGGCGGGTTGGTGTGTGCCAAGTTTTATCATGGAAGTTTTCAAATCCGATCCTGTTGATTCGGGAGGATTTATAGGCCACCAAACGTCCGAAGGAAGACTTTCGTCTGCCTGGGAGGATGGTTAAGGTAGCAGGCTAGAAAGTGGGTGACTGGGAGTTCTAGTCCTGCCTTAGCCATGAAAGCCAGCTGAGTGACTTTGCGCCAATCACTACGTGACTAGGAGTTCTAGTTCCGCCTTAACCATTAAAGCCAGCTGAGTGACTTTGAGCCAATCACTAGGTGACTAGGAGTTCTAGTCCCGCCTTAGTCATGAAAGCCAGCTGAGTGACTTCGTGCGAATCACCAGGGGACTGGGAGTTCTAGTTCTGCCTTAGCCATGAAAGCCAGCTGAGTGACTTTGAGCCAATCACTAGGTGACTAGGAGTTCTAGTCCCGCCTTAGCCATAAAAGCCAACTGAATAACTTTGTGCCAATCACTAGGTGACCAGGAGTTCTAGTCCCGCCTTAGCCATAAAAGCCAACTGAATAACTTTGTGCCAATCACCAGGGGACTGGGAGTTCTGTCTTAGCCATGAAAGCCAGCTGAGTGACTTTGTGCCAATCACTAGATGACTAGGAGTTCTAGTCCTGCCTTAGCCATGAAAGCCAGCTGAGTGACTTTGCGCCAATCACTAGGTGACTAGGAGTTCTAGTTCCACCTTAACCATTAAAGCCAGCTGAGGAACTTTGTGCCAATCACTAGGTGACTAGGCGTCCCAGTTCCGTCTTAGCCATGAAAGGGTGGCTTTGGGCCAGTCGTTCTCTCTCAGCCCAACCCACCGCACAGGGGTATTGCTGTGGCGAAAACAGAGGAAGGAGTATTACGCATGTTCACTCCTTAAGTTATCGATAGAAATAATAAAACTGGGACTCAGATTAAATAAACACAATAAAATGAAATGAAACAGGATTCCCCTTGAATCATCTTACTTGTATCAAGAAACCTACCATGTATGAGATTGTTAGATGATGACACCAAGGTGTCCCACAAGCACACATTTCTGTGAAAGAAAACACACACAAGTAAGATAGTCACTGTGTTTCCCTGAAAATAAGAACAGGGTCTTATTATTTTCTTCTGATCCCCGAAATTAGCGCTTGGCCTTATTTTCGGGGAGGCCTTATTATTTTTGAGGTGCAGGAGGAGGAGGCGAGCGTGGTCACCTCATGGCTGCTGCCGTGTTGCAATATTTTTGGCGAGGGCCTATTTTAGCGCATGTGCTCCAAAGCCCGATTGGGCTTATTATCCAGGGAGGGTTTATTTTTGGGGCAACAGGGTCGTACTCAACAGTCACCAAACCCCCATCGGGTGACTGTCCCCACCCAACTCGATCTTCTGAACACACCGGTTGTCGTTAGACTGTCCAGACGTGGCCACTAAACTCGAAGAGGTAATGAAGGCAAAGTCACTTGTGGTTTTGCTGTGGCACTGCCAGCTCTGTAAAAAAACAAGAATACCGAGAGAGACAATGCGATCAATGGGAGGAGACACACTGCAAATCCTAAATTCAGATGGTCCAGCCATCACATCTTCTGAAGCCCAACAGCTGGAACACCCACCAGAGCTGACAATTGTCAGTCTATATTCTCAGCTGTAAAGCACAGGGAATGAAAAGGAGCTTAATTAACACCCTCATTCATAATTATCATCTTTTCTCGCAATCGTTAAGAGGGGACCAATCTAATTAAAACATGACACTTGGAAAGGACAAGACGTTTTCTTGTGTACCATCTCAATGGGTTTCAAGGATTAGAAATCAATGCACATCCTTAGCCACCTGGGAGTCTTGCAGCCGATAAGAGTTATAAAAGTCCAGAAAATAAATAAAACAAAACAAAACTATAACAATCATTCTCTTTCTAGATTTCCATTCTCTGCTAAGTAGAATAGAATAACAGAGCTGGGAGGGACCTTGGAGGTCTTCTAGTCCAACCCCCTGCTTAGGCAGGAAACCCTTCACCACTTCAGACAAATGGCTATCCAACATCTTCTTAAAGACTTCCAATGTTGGAGCATTCACAACTTCTGGAGGCAAGTTGTTCCACTGATTAATTGTTCTGATTGTCAGGAAATTTCTCCTGCTTCATGTTTGGGTACATTTTAGCCAATATTGTTGGTGATAAATGCCAACGATAAAAGATTTATTTTCTACTTGTCACAATCAAAAGACACAAGTAGAATTTTTTTTTTAAAAAAAATGTGCAAATTTGTCCGGATTACTTACCATATAAGGTTTGGGATTACTCGAAGCTTGGTTTACTTGCCAAATGCTTAAGAATCCTTCCCCATCAGCTACCCCACACTGTAAGAGACAAATTTCTCACATTAGTGGCTCTGTGAGCATGTTGCAAAAAAGCCACTCATCCATGTTCCGTTATAAAGAGCAATTTTATTTACTTTCTTTTTTGGGGGGGGGGGGGAAAAAAAGGTTTATTTTTCCTTTCAAATTCATTCTTAAATACACATTCTTATAATTATTATTTAACATATGTCAATTCATATCATTTTTCCACCTGTATATTTACCTTTTAATATTTTCTTATTTCCCCTCCCCCCGTTTTAATCATGTGTTGTCTGAGATACTTATTTCATGTTTTGTTCCTTTTTGTTTCGAGCCGAGATGGCGCAGTGGTTAAATGCAGCACTGCAGGCTACTTCAGCTGACTGCAGTTCTGCAGTTCGGCTGTTCAAATCTCACTGGATCAGGGTTGACTCAGCCTTCCATCCTTCCGAGGTGGGTAAAATGAGGACCCGGATTATTGGGGGCAATATGCTGACTCTGTAAACCGCTTAGAGAGGGCTGAAAGCCCTATGAAGCGGTATATAAGTCTAACTGCTATTGCTATTTTCTTTCTATTTATACCTTTCTTTCAAACCACTCGTAAATCCCCCCCCCCATGTCCTGCAGTACCCTGATTCCTCTTTGTCCTTTATTCTCAGTGTCAACCTGTTCATTTCTGCACCATCTAATATCTTCTTTATTACTTCCCATTCCGATGGGATTTTATCTGCTTTCCAGTTTTGTTCAAATACAATTTTGGCTGCTGTTATTATTTGTACAATCAAATATGAATCTTCTTTACTATATTTCTCTGGTAGAATACCCAATAAAAATATCTCTGGCTTAAACTCCACGGGTTTATGTATCATTTTCTCTAACCATGTTTGTATTTTAACCCAATAGCTTTTTGCATCCCTATACATCTACCACATATGATAGTATGTTCCTGGCAATTGGTGACATTCCCAACATTTAGCTGTTTTGTCCTTAAACCTCTTTGCTAATCTTTCAGGTGTCATGTGCCATCTATAAAACATTTTATATAAATTCTCTTTATATGCTGTTGCCAGTGTCAGATTATAATTCCTTTCCCATAGTTGTTGTCATTTTTCTAGTTCTATTGTATATCCAAAGTTTTTCCCCATCTTATCATTGTTTCTTTGACCGTTTCTTCTTCTAGGTATATTCTAAGTAAACAACTGTATGATTTTTTGATCATTTTTTCATCTGTTCCCATGAATATCCTATCTAATTCTGAGTTTTCCATATTAAAACCATACTCTTTCACATCTTTCTCATATCTTGTTTGTATTTGCATTTCTTTCTTTTTAAAAATAAAACATAGGGCTTATTTCTACCTAGTGACCATGTCCCAAATACATTTAGGGTTTCTTTTATCAAATCCATCCTCTTCTTAATTTTGTCAGCTTTAAGACATGCGAGAGCTGCCCTGCAGGAGAATTCCCCCTTTCAGGTAAGAAAGAGAGAAATTCAACTACTGACAGAAGACTTGATTATGTAACCTAGTCAGGCAATTAAATGTCTGCAAGCTAACAACCCAGCTCCTGGGGACACTAAGGACCCCCATCGTCGTGTCACTCCTCCCTCACCTTCTCCTCTTCCTCCTCTCCATTCCTCAAAACCCACTCCCTTCTAGTACTGATGATGTTACATAGTTGGGTAATGAAACGTCTGTTTGCAGGGTCTTGTGGTCACACAATCCCATTTTACAATGGTTTTCCTGAAGACTAGAGCCACTTCAGAGGTGGTATTCAGGAGGTTCTGAGTCTACCAACCAGTTCTGAAGAATCGGTAGCGGATATTTTGAGTAGTTCAGAGAACCGGTAAATACCACTTCTGGCTGGCCACGACCCCATCTATTCTCTGCCTCCCGAGTCCCAGCTGATCGGAAAGGAATAGAGATTTTACAGTATCCTTCTCCTGCCATGCCCACCAAGCCATGCCACACCCACAGAACCGGCAGGAATTTTTTTTTTGAATCGCACCACTGTGTTACTTCCGGTTTTGGCTAAAACTGCGTCCTAGGGAAAAAATAGTTCGCTTAATGACCGTGTTCATTTAAAGACCATGGTGTTCGTTCTATATCTGTTTTCCCAGGGAAAGCCCTTACCTTATTGCCCTGAGAATTGAAATACATTCGCGTAACCCTGGCATTGCCAGCTTGCCGGAAGCATATCAGCTGCTGAGGTCTGGTCCATTCAAACATTCGGACGCTGCCATCCTGGGCTCCAGTAAGGTCTGGAAAACCATCCCAAGTGCCCCAAAACAAGAACTGGTGATTAACACAAAATAACAGAACAGAGAAACTACAACAGAATAGAATAGAATAAGAGAGTTGGATGGGACCTTGCAGGTCTTCTAGTCCAACTCCCTGCTCAGGCAGGAAACCCTACACCACTTCAGACAAATGACTGTACAATCACTTCTTAAAAACTTCCAGTGTTGGAGCTTTCACAACTTCTGGAGGCAAGTTGTTCCACTGATTAATTGTTCTAACTGTCAGGAAATTTCTCCTTA